GCAAAGAGAAAGAAAGTGAGGAAGAAGTGGGCTGAAGGGAGATCATAGCGTGTTGTGTAGTGGAGTGAGGCCCATGGTCATTGTGGCTGTATCGAGGACAGTTTCCAGGCCGTACAGAACTATAATGCACCTATGCCACCTATCGAGGTGGAGAAAATAGCTGTTTCATCTATTTTTGTTCCCGTAAGTGCCCAGCTCGGACAACTTATAGACCGACATTGACATGGGGTTAATAACGGAGAATGGAGGAAACAATAACTGGCGGCATGGAACTTACATAAGTGCGGGTGCATAATTTGCCCCCGGGTGTCTTGATGACATCACTGCCATTTGCCATCGCCTCAAGCACTTCAGATGCACATAAGCTTGGGTCCCTGCCACAACAAAGAGTCAGGTATCCACAAAGCCACAACGGTCCACCAAAGCTGAAAAGCAAAATTTCAATCTTTTTTGAGACTTCCTGATGACTATTTTCTTTAATAGACTTCTTATCTTCTCAACTAAAAAGAACATCCCAAGGGTCACCAGGATGCTAACACAAGGCCTTGCAAAGCTCTCAAGAACTCAAGGAACAAACCAGCTCGTAGCCTCGTACTGCAATTCCTGCACACAACCATCTCCAAGATGTGCATTCATACCTTAAGGTTCAAACAACTTGAAGAAACTCCAAGTAGGTGTACGTAGTTCACAGAATGACAGGTGCCCGCAGCTCATGAAACTTTTCCTTTCAGAACTGGGATCCACTGGGAGCATGTGACCTTATACCCTGAGGGCCCACGTGAAACTCGGAATCACTCCAGGCTGTACATAGCAAGGACTACGGGTGGTTGGGGCGGGGGGGAGGGGGGGGTTGAGCAGGGGGAGAGGCCGGGGATCGGTAGTACTTACTTTACAAGGAAACGTAGAAATAAACTGCACTCCAAGGGAAAATACATGGGCACCTAATTCAAATTAGATACGCACCAACTAAGAGCGAATCGGCTTGGAATAATACATGATCGAGCCCGGCCATGATGCACCTGGATGTGCAAATGCCCAAGTACATGACCTAAAACTGGTGGAATCGTACATGATCAAGCCCAGTCATGATGCACCTGGATGCAGCAATGCCCAAGTACATGACACGCAACTGGACGTGCAGGTGCTTGGGTGCATTCCGACCAGGCTAGTTTTGTCCTTTTAAACATATGCCGGCTACTTCAGTCCATTCTTCTTGTAGGTAATACCGGTGAAGCCCAGAAAACAGATTTTCTGAATGGTGGCTTGCAGAGTAGCTTTATTTACAGCAGCAGCCTCAGGCCTCCTTAGCCACTACGCCCTGGGGCCCCTTAGGAAAAGTAGGCCATCCATGTCTCTTCCGATGTCCATGTGCTATTCAAGCCGGGGCAGTTCCATTGATGCTCTCATTTGCGCCACAATAGTATTTTCTCACAAAACCAATCAGCATTTCTGGAGAGAAGCTAAACATCGGCTAACAGCCCTGGTTCTTCGTCCACAGAAAGTCCAATTCAAGCAGTCACCGTTCATCCTCTTGTACCCAAGAGCATTTGAACTCTCCATCTGTTGATGAAGCTACATCAGCCTATTCAGACACCAGGCAGCTACAATTCCATTTGTCTGGAAATCAGCAAAATCCAAGTTCCAGCTACACATTTAAAATCAAACTAGAAAAGAAATGGTTCTCTCAGAGAATGTGGAGTAGGTAGGGCCAGGCAGAGGAAGGGCATAGGACTAGAAAAGGAGTTACTCTCTCAGGGAAATGTGGAGAAAGTAGACCCGGGCAGAGGAGGGGCGTGGAACTAGAAAAGGAGTGGCTCTCTCAGAC